AGAGGCCGGTCTTCGGACCGGGCGAAAGGGGGTGCTCATAGCTGACCTTCCCCGATCGTACCCAAGCTCCCGAGCCGAGACAACTCCGGTGATGACGGACATGTGGCCTTCGGCACCGAATTAGGGTTTGTGTCTCATTTGTTTCATTTTGCATCTTGTGTGGCACGCGTGTCACACTTGTGCAGTCCATGTTTGGCACTACTTTTTCAAAAATCTGTTTCTCAAAACGATTTGCCAGATTTGGACTCTTTGGTTCAGATTAAGAACCGTGACACAAATCGAGTCCGAACTGTAGCATGAGGCCCTCCGCGGGCGCGTCTACACTTATGCTCACATGTTTGCATCCATTCATCTATCTTGCATGTACCAGGCTCGACGCATCATACTAACTGCATTGTATTTCTATACCAAGTTGAATACATGTATCAACTGTTGCATTTCACATGCCATTTTAAAATAGCCGAGCCTATCTTAGTTGCATTCTTGCATGTGTTGCATTAGCCATCTTAACATGAACTAGGATCATGCATCGATTACTAATTAGTTTCTGTTTTGGCTCGGAGTACTCGGTAAGTGTTTATGCTTTAGCATCCATGCATGAGTGTGAGTGTTGCCATGATAGCATGCTTGCCATGAGGCTATGTGCTTATGTAATATAACTGCTTCAATGCCTATGAGTGAAGGTTGGACAACTTGAATTGGAATAATTCATTGAATGCGAGTTTTAAGCCCATTCTGCGGGGTGGCAAAAATCATGTTTTCTAAGCCCACTTGAGGGTGGCAAAATCCGCATTATAGCCTACTTGCGAGTAGCAAACCGCTTTTAAAAACAAACATGAGATATTTTGTTCCAACTTAGGCGATCCAGTTTATACTTGTATCCTGTGTGCATCACATAGTAATTCTAGGTTCATAACCGAAATAAGAGCACGTATGTTTTCAAAAACAAGATATCATGTTAGAAAAGGCCGATCTTTGATCGGGCGAGCTGGGTTGCTCATTGCATGACCTTTCTCTCTTGTACCCAAGTTCCCGAGCCGAGGCAACTTTGGTGATGACGGACACGTGGCCTTAGGCACGAGTCAGGGTTTCTTAAATTTCCCAAAAATAAAATATTAGGTGGTAACTCTGTATCTGGCGAAGCAGTCCATGTTCGGCACTTCTTTCTAAAAGCAATTTTTCAAAACGATTTGCCGGATTTGGACTCTTTGGTGATTTATCAATCTCGCATTGCACTTTGCAAGATCAGATTAAGAACCGTGATGTTGAGTCCGAACTGTAATGAGCCCAATGAACAAAACGGTATTTTCCTGAGACGTTCGGGCGCGTCTACAGAGACGTAAGGGTTGACTCTTCAAAACTTGGTTGTTCTACACAAGCATCACTGAGGCTGGGTTTGGACCTCCCTTGGCTCACCTACAAACACATGAATGAGAGTGAGCGAAAGCCCAGTGAATAATATCATACAAAGAAGATACACGAATAATATTTAGAACAATATACACCAAACGGCCTTGAGCCCAATTCATATTTCTATCAGGTATATATATATATATATACGGACACGTGGCCTTAGGCACGAGTCAGGGTTTCTTAAATTTCCCAAAAATAAAATATTAGGTGGTAACTCTGTATCTGGCGAAGCAGTCCATGTTTGGCACTTCTTTCTAAAAAGCAATTTTTCAAGACGATTTGCCGAATTTGGACTCTTTGGTGATTTATCAATCTCGCATTGCACTTTGCAAGATCAGATTAAGAACCGTGACATTGAGTCCGAACTGTAATGAGCCCAATGAACAAAACAGGATTTTCCAGAGACGTTCGGACGCGTCTACAGAGACGTAAGGGTTGACTCTTCAAAACTTGGTTGTTCTACACAAACATCACTGAGGCTGGGTTTGGACCTCCCTTGGCTCACCTACAAACACATGAATGAGAGTGAGCGAAAGCCCTGTGAATAATATCATACAAAGAAGATAAACGAATAATATTTAGAACAATATACACCAAACGGCCTTGAGCCCAATTCATATTTCTATCAGGTATATATATATATATATGTATAGGTCAAGTGACTGCGATTCCAACACATCAAACGGCCTCAGGCCCAATTCATATTTGTCCGACGGCCTTTGGCCCAATCATTTGTATCATACGACCTCTAGCCCATTCATTCATGTCATACGGCCGCTGGCCCATTCATTCATGTCATACGGCCTCTGGCCCATTCATCCTTGTCCAACGGCCTTTGACCCATTCATTCATGTCATTCAGCCTCTAGCACATCCACTCTTTCATTCATGTCAAACTGGCCTTTAGCCTATTCATTCTATCATTCATGTCAAACTGGCCTTTGGCCCATTCATTCTATCATTCATGTCAGACTGGCCTTTGGCCCATTTATCTTTCATTCATGTCAGACTGGCCTTTGGCCCATTCATTTGGCATAGCAACCATTTGTCCACCATTCAAATTAATGAACTTATAAGACTTACATAGAAGTAAGCAATTGGACAATTAGCATACTTCAAATATCTTTATTAAGATATTACTCACAGTGATCGGCTGGATGATTTGCCCTGGAGCTCGACCCTACACATTCCATGAACACAATGGGTCACAAACAATTCAATCCGTTCTTAATTCACACATTCCTCTTTAGGCTTCTTTCTTATTCTTTTAATTCATTCATAATGCTCAATGCATGCCTAAGAGTACTTAGAAGTGAAAGAGAACAGAAAATGAAACACAGAACATCTTTACAAAATTTCAGAAACAGGGGTCCCTGCTCGAGCATGGACTTTCCCGCTCGAGCGGACCCATTAGGTTTGCAAAAGTACTAGTCGCTTCATTATTACGCTCGAGCGTGAATTTGGACGCTTGATCGGAAAGTGTCACTACATCGCTCCCCGCTCGAGCGTGAACTTCCTCGCTCGAGCGGACATCATGTCTACAAAATATTCTGGGAGCCCGTATTTTACGCTCGAGCAGCGGTTGCCCCGCTCGAGCGGACGTCAAGAATTCTGGGTTTTCTAGAACTTGTTCTTGAGTTCAAATTTGACCTCCAAAGGTTTTAAAGCTCAAATTATGGCACCAAAAACATGCAAGTACATCATATAGCATATGGATGTAAACAACATGAGGCCAATTATTCAAAATCATGGTCCAATCTTCAAAATTAATCAACATTTCTTTGTATAACCAAGGCTCATGCATTCACACTTCATATAATCTTCATATCTTCAATATTCAAACATGCAAGCCAATTTTTGGCTTTAATTCCATTTGAATGATGCAAATGGTGTCCATTCTCATGAAACTCAACAAAACCATGCTTGCATGTATGCTTCAACCCACAATCTTTCATAATTCACATGTTACATGCTAGATTATGTAATTTTATAGGAATTCTCTACATGCATGCACACATGGACTTCAATCTCAACTTAATCAACTCAATTCATGATCGAAATCACCAATTAATCTTCAATTCACAAAACCACAATTCAAACTCATGAATTAAGGGTTGATTACTCACCTAGGAGCTTTAATCTTCACCAATTCTAGTTGAATCTTGAGTCCAATCTTCCAATTTTCACAAACTTGAGCCAAACACACAATGATGTCTTCCCTCTCTCTCAAAGTCGGCTCTCTCTTCCTCTAGAGAGTTGATCTCAGCCAAACTGACTTAAAAAAGGAGGAATTAAGTGTATAATGCCCCCTTTATCTGAGCTCTCATAAGCACAATTAATTAAGATTAAATAATTGAGCACTATAACACCAATTTAATCTATTTAATTTGATCCGAATCAATTTTTAATTAAATTTCACCGTAGGCTCTAAAAATTACGCCAATCACAATGGCGCAGTCAATTTCGGTTTATGTGGCTGATAGGGCCTTCAATTTAAATTCCCAAGCAGATAATCAAACAGATATTCCTACGGTGAACAGATAGAAATTCAAAACCACATATTTTCACATAAATAGCACTTCAATCATAGGGTCCGAATAAATAAACTAACTAGCTACGCAAAGCTAAGCTAAGCTAACTATTACAAAACAACTAATTAACTATGCTAGCTAATTAATTATTACAACTCAGTTGAATAACTAGCTACGCTAAGCTAATTAAGATATTATAAACCAAATTGAATAATCAACTACACAAAGCTAAATAAAGCAATAAAGCGGCCTCGCGAGCGAGGGAGACATGCATGGTCGGTCGGCTTCTCCCGAAAATCCGTCGCGTTGCCGTCGGTTGTCTCTGTTTGCGCTTGCCCTAATCTTTGAAAATTGAACCAACATTTCAAACTGCTTTTGCTTCAAAACAGGAACACTTTGCACAAAAATGGACTGGTGGCCGGTCGGCTATAAAAAGTGGCTGTCGGCCACCTTAACTGGTCGGTCGGCTAGTATAAGTGGCCGGTCGGCTACCTCAAGTGATCGGTTGGCCACCTCAGGTGACTGGTTGGAAACCTGCTTTTCCAGGCTTCTGGTTTTGCTGTAACAGAGAACATGTAAGGACCCCAAAATGCATATAAGAAATCATTGGTATTTAACTATGAGATGAGGTATTTTAATTTAATTATATCTTTTGGAATTGAAGCATTATCTATTGAGTTACGGATTTAAAATTGAAATTACCGACCTATATGGGTACAGAAATCAAAATTGAGTACTTGGATATGTTAATGGGAATTTTTGGAACTATTTGGGACAATTAATTGGAAATCTAATTTGTCTGATTCGTTAATGCACGTTTGGGTAGTTAACTTTATATTGCAATTGAAAGCATTAGAGGCTTTAGAAACCAGAACAGGGGACATATTTATGATCCTCATAATTTTTAGAGTTATCTGGGAAGTTTAATTGAAATTTGATTTCGTACGAATCGTAAGGCCACGTTTGGCTCCCTCTATTGTGTTATGTTGGTGTGTATGTGTATACTTGTATTATGGGTGCCTTATGAGTGGATAGACTCATTTCTTAGAATAAAAAAAAAATAAATATCTAGAGGAAAGGGGGGAGCCACGTGAGAGAGGGAGAGATAGAGGACTCAAGGAGAAGAAGGAAGGAAGAGCTTGAGAATGAAGAGGAAAGATGGGAAAATTGATGGAATTACTTCAAGAGATTGGCTCTAGGTATGTGAAATCAACTTAACCCCTTAAGATTGATCTATTACTAGTTTAAATTCATGATCTCAAATGAAGAGAAACCACCTAATTGAGTTTTGGTTGATAGATATAAGTTTAGATGAACTCTTTTCATGAATTGAACCTTGATTCCTTAAGAGTTGGGTAATTGAAGAATTAAAGTCATTATATTTGTTTATTTTGAGGTTATGATGTTTGATGGAGAATAATAATGTGAAATAGGTCATGTATTAAAGGGTTTTGGGCTTTGATTTACATGTAATTAAGGTTTGATTTTGAAAATGAGAAGTCCCAAATTTTCTGCCATTTTCGGACAGCAATCTGCCCAGAGCCGCACGTGCGGCCCTGTTTCCCGCACGTGCGGGAGATAGCTTTGTCCCGCCATCTTTGAATAAGCATATCGTTTGCCTCGGGGCTCCGTTTTGAGTGATTCTTGAGCCTAAAATCAAGCCCCGGAAGTCTAGTTTCCAATGGAAGTGGTCTCACTCCCAAATTCTAAATAAAAAAATAGTTATGCCCAAATTAGTGACAATTGTTCACTTTCTGTCAACTAATTTTATACCATTTCTTCGCCTAAACCATTTTCCATTGATTTCTCCTGTTTCTGTGACATGGAGTATAACTTATTAAGAAATAATGAGCTTGGTACCACCATGGCTAATTAAGTGAATGATCAAAGAGAACAAGTAAATGATCGAGTATAATCTCATATTATGTGTTGTGCACTGTACTTGTAGGTCGAGACGAGAACATCGTCCTATTACCACCGGGAACTGATCACTGTGAGTAGTAGTTCTGCAATCGTACGTTTATTTACCGTAAATAATTCTTATTGTTAACGTACTGTTCTTTGTAAGCATTTATGTTGTTTAGGGATCGGTGAGAACATTGAAAGATTATGTGCACTTCGGTATGACGCTGAAACTACTCTACATTCTGGTTATGGTTAATGGTTATCCTTAATGTATAATAACCTGTAAATTACCTATAACTCCGCACAAGAATTATTAATATTATGCAACTGGTTGGCAAGAAGGGATTATGAATATAAATCCCGCTTAATGGGAACATGACATTTTGAACGTCCTATCCTGGGCTCCTACAGCCTTATTTAGTTCGACACATGTTTTATGACATAGACATCTGCCTAAAATGGATTAACGAAATGAAAATCGAACAGAACCATGGGTTTCCTTATATGTCAAAGAATTGAATATCATAACATTGTTATATGACTCACGTTATGGTGCGACTTGTTCTACCCCCATGAATAGTACTATAACGACACATGTGTTTCTGTAAATAATTATTATTAATACTTTGTTATATGTAAGATGACTATGGCTACATGTAATGAATCATAAAGGGAAATTTATGCGCACCATTGTGAACGGTATTTGTATGAACCTGGCATTATTATGTTATGTTTATTCACTTCGTTTATGCTATGACATAATATGAATTGTTCAGTCTTCAAGAACTATTGATTCCTAGTACGAAACTAAGTGCTGCAATGCGAACCACCTCTTGAGTCCATACCTACAAGAGCTGGGCTTAAAGCCAATTTGGTCCTTTTATGGGTCACCCGGTTATGTGAAATTACGAAAGATATGAAAGGAATAACTTGTGAACTTATGAAAGATATAATTTGTGATGATATGAAAGGAATAACTTGTGAACCTATGAAAGATATAATTTGTGAAGATATTAAAGGAATAACTTGTGAACTTATGAAAGATATAATTTGTGATGATATGAAAGGAATAATTTGTGAACTTATGAAAGATATAATTTGTGAAGACATGAAAGGTATAATTTGTGAACTTATGAGGCCGAGGGCCACTTTGTGAATTTGTGAACTTATGAGGCCGATGGCCAACTTGTGAATTCTGAAATTATGAGGCCGATGGCCAACTTATGAAGTATGAATCTGTAACTTGTGAAACTATGAATCTCAAAGGCCGAGGGCCAATTTGTGAAGTTATGCATCTAAGTTAAGCCAAGGGCTAATTTGTGAATGTGTGAACCCATCAGGCCAAGAGCCAACCTATGAAGTTATGAACCGAGAAGACTGTTCTGAAATGTGTACAGAATCAGACTAACCACAGGATTTTTGCATTTACTTATCTAATTAGAGAAATGTGTACATTGTAAGTAAATTAAGTTAATCTTTAAATTGTTTATGTACTACTGTTCACTGAGCTTAACTCACTTTGTCTTATGTCTGTTTCTGTAGGCACTCCACCTGGAGGTCAGTTTTAACCCATGGCATCCGTGCCTCTTTTGTCAACCTCAGAGTATCCAGGCACTTAAGTGAAGGGAGCCTTTTTGCTAAACTTTTGATTTTACACTCTGATTGTTTGCTTAAGGTTGATGTATATATAATTTCAACCTCAGAGTATCCAGGCACTTATGTGAAGGCAGCCCTTTTTGCTAAACTTTTGATTTTACACTCTGATTGTTTGCTTAAGGTTGATGTATATGTAATTCCTTTGCCTATCCATGTTGTTTTACGCCCAATTCTAAGGGCTGGGTCTGTATATATATATGTACATAGCTAACTCTCTGGTGCACGTCACTGTATGTTTATTTGCCTTATGTTCTGTCTGTGATCCTGGCATGATAGTGGTCGCTCAATGGATGCAGTTCTTTTATTTATGTTAATTTATATTGGTAAATGCTTCTGTTCAGGCCCCATATGATATGTATACCAGGTTATGCGTCCGTTTCTGTGTAGGTCATGCCCAAACTTTTAGGGGCAAGTTTAGGGCGTGACAGAACAATAGAGGCACAACAATGTATTTGCAAGGAAATGTGTGTACTGCCACCCTCCTCATCATTTTTCAAGCTCAAAGGATTTCGGCACTTGACTGTCAAACCACCAATCAAGCATCTCAATGCATGATGGCCCAAAAACTAAGCTTGTACAGTGTTAATGAATGCGCACATAAGACTCAAATGGCCACCACCCTATCATGCATGATCAAGGGTGATGGCGACTAAGAAACGTGACACGTTTCGTCACTTTGAGTATGAAACGCCCCACATTTCTTGTGTTTGGGTTAATGTCTGATCCAAACACATGCAATGCAACACAAATGTTTATCTTGTTCATGTTTTACTTGTTCAATTCTTGTTTACACATTTTACATTACCTATTAATCCTTTAACCAATTTAGTCCAATGTGAAAGTCCTCTAATTGGAGAGGGGTCAACCAAAGGATGGTTTAAGACATGAGAGAGCTCATGCCTTTGGCTAGGAGGAACCATCAAAAGAGGGTTAAAGCCATTGAGCACAAGCTCTATCTCAAGCTTAAACACAATCATAAGTTAACCAACCCTCAAAGCAAATGGAAAAATGAAGAAATGAGGGAGGTTACAAACCTTTTAGTGCTAAAATGGCATGCTCAAGACACTAAATAGTGCAATCAACATATGCACAACATGTTAAGGGCCAAAAGCATTGAATTAGTGAAAAACATTGCACTACAGGCATGTGTTATCGAGCTTAAATGACCAAACCAGCTCTGGACAGAGCTTAAACATGCCAAATCAGTGGCTAAGTCATACTAGAATAGAAGCTTAAAAGGCAAGAAAGTCATGCGCACAAATTGGCTTTCAATCAAGGCACAAAGCACAACTCTCAAAAGCAATGAAAGAGCCCAATGGGCTGGCCACCCAGGTGTAGACGTCCCCGAACGCTCCGGGAGGATGAGTCATGTTCTGTTCGTTTTTGGGGTTACTACAGTTCGGACTCGATTTGTGTCACGGTTCTAAATCTGAACCAAAGAGTCCAAATCCGGCAAATCGTTTTGAGAAATAGATTTTTTGAAAAGAAGTACCAAACATGGACTGCTTTGCTAGATACAGAGTCGCCACCTAAATATTTTAAAATGGGAGAATTTAGGAAACCCTGACTCGGTGCCGAAGGCCACATGTCCGTCATCACCGGAGTTGTCTCGGTTCGGGAGCTTGGGTACGATCAGGGAAGGTCAGCTATGAGCACCCCCTTTCGCCCGGCCCGAAGACCGGCCTCTACTAACCGTGATATCCGTTTTTTAAAACGTTATGTGTTCTTATTCCAGTTATTAGCCTAGAATTGCTATGTTATGCGCGCAACAAACAAGTGTAGACTAGATTCCCTAATTTGGAAACAAGCATTGCATATTCGTTTGTTTTGAAAAGATGTTTTGGAATTTGCTACTTGCAAGTAGGCTAAAATACGGATTTCAACGAGTTTTCCCAACTCAAACAATCCAACCTTCACCCACAGGCATCCAAGCAGTTTATAACACATAAGCATCTAGCCACATGGCAAGCATAGGCATACTGTCATGGTAAACACTCACACGCATGCGGGATGCTAAAGCATAAATACTTGCATCGTACTCCGTGCCAAAACAGTAAACCAGTTAGCAAACATGCATGTCCTAGTTCATGTTTAAAAATGGCTAATGCATCACATGCAAAATGCAATCTAGACAGGCTCGGCTAGCCCTAAACATGGCATGTGAAAATGCACAATTATCACATATTCGGTTTTAGAATTTTGAAGTACAAATGCAGTTAGCGTGATGTACGAGCCTAATGTATGCAATACAAATGCATGGATGCACGCATGCATAGCATAAGGTATGCTAAATTTCAAAAAAATGCCTTAATCTACCATCATAAGCAGGTAATAAAAGAAGAAAGAAATGGGGATTGGAGACATACACACACTCACCCACACTTATTACATATTTACCCTCACTCAGAGGGTCCAAATGAATATTACAGTCCCAAAATAATAAACAAATAAAATATTACAGTCCCAATAATAAACAAACAAAATTATTACAAAAATTCTAATTAATTAAAAAGAAAGATGCAAAAGAAAGAAGAGGGTGGCCGCAGCCTCTGCCTCAGGATGCGCAGATGATGCATGCTCGGAACTTGACTCGCCCGAAAACCCGTACCGTACTCTTGCCACCTCTGTTTGTACTGCCTTGTCTCTCTGAAAATTACCAAAGTCCTGGAGCAGGGTTCCTCACATGTGTAGACGTCCCCGAACGCCCCGGGAGGACGAGCTCCCGTTCTGTTCATTTTGGGGTCACTATAGCTAGGACTCTCAAATTGTCACGGTTCTTAATCTGAACCAAAGAGCCCAAATCCGGCAAATCGTTTTTGAGAAACAGATTTTTGAAAAGAAGTGCCAAACATGGACTGCTTTGCCAGATACAGAGTCGCCACCTAAATATTTTTTATGGGGGAATTTAGGAAACCCTGACTCGGTGCCAAAGGCCACGTGTCCGTCATCACCAAAGTTGCCCTCGGGCTCGGGAACTTGGGTACGATTGGGAAGGTTCACTTCGTGAGCACCCCCGCTCGCCCGATCAAAGATCGGCCTCTACTAACCATGATATCTATTTTTGAAAACATTGTGTGTTCTTATTCCGGTTATTAGCCTAGATTACTGTGTGATGCGCACAGCATACAAGTATAGACTAGATCGCTGAATTGGAACGAAACATTTCATGTTTGTTTGTTTTGAAATGGTTTGATGGTGCTACTTCGCAAGTAGGCTAAAGACGGGATTGCCACCCTCAGGTGGGCTTAGAAAACATGATTTTGCCACTATCTAGTGCTTAAAACACACATTTTGATGATTTGTTCCAATCAAATACCAACCTTCATCCACAGGCTTCAGGCAGCTATATCACATAAGCAAAAGCCTCATGGTAAGCATGCTATTCATGGCAGTCACTCACACGCATGCAAGGATGCTAAAGCATAAAACTTACGCGAGTACTCCAAGCCAAAACAAAACTATGTTAGAATCATGCCATCCTATACTGCTATGCAAAATGCAATCACTTAGTAGTCGCATCTAATCGCAATGGATTAGCTAACGTCCTGAAGAAATCAAGCATTAGTTATGCCGACCCGTACAACAGATGATAATGCAAATAACTATCAGGACAGTTCCTTGCATCGTTTAACATACATCCGAGATGCAATGGTAGTCTCTATGTTGATAAGTAATGCATTTTACATGGCGTACCACTGCCACGCTGCAATGGAGTGCTAAGCAAAAACGATGTTACCGAATCTATGCAAATAGAATATGTTAGATCTCGCAGGTGCACTAGAACATGACAGAGAGTTGATGCACACTGCAATGCAAATATAGTAACGGCTCGCTATCAAACATGGCATGGATATGTACGCCAATGTAGTTAACTGGTATTCGACAGATCAATCATGTTGTCAGCGAGTGCAGCAAACAGCAGAATGATCACATGTGTTTAGAGTAGAACAGCTAATGTACGTATACACCAGGAACAGTGATACGATATATACCTGATTGTTGGAAGTACCCTCGCGGTTACATTGTGCCGCAAGGGTCGAATATTCTCAGCCCGATAAAGATACGCCATATTACGTCCGATAACTATACATTCGCTATTAGCATCTAACAGATAGTAAGAATATAAATGCAGCAGCACAGGGACGCACTTGCGATGATCGACATTCTGCAGCTCGAATTCTTTCTCCGTGAGCCCATTTCGGCCATATGTTATAGGGCAATTACTGGAGAGTCGTGCCAAACGGATGAAAGAGAGTGTTGTATTCATTCATTTGCTCGCAGCTATTATAGGGAAAGGGCATAGCAATAGTATTATTTATCTACCACAGAAGTTATCGATCGCATTACTCATTATACGACAAGGTCTCGTTCTGCTCACAGGAACAACTCACGTGAATAGAGGATTGAACTCGGCGAGGTGAGCTGAGAGTACTGATAAGTATTGACACTCACCTTGGTGTGATGCAGCATGAAAATCAGAGCATAATCCATGTACTCATATGATTGAACCGGAGTGTCGGTGATCTGGGGATTGAGGCAGCGTTCGTCCGCTCAGACGTGGAGTGATTATATGCATTTATCGATCCTCGTTTCCCGTGTCGGGGAACTCCTGATCCCAAAACACGATTGCAATATTGCATGACGTGGCATGAATGCAACTAAGATACCAACCTAGCATGCACAATGCTATGAAAATGAGCGTTCCGAATAGGTGCACACGGGCACGTAAACCGAGGCAATGGCATATGCTGCCAATATGACATGGAAAATTGCATGGCTTATACAACATGAGAGAAGCTCAGCACACTCACATAAGAGGGCCGATGGATGAAAATGAAGTGGCCTCGAATGCGTGCACTACGGGCCGTAAACTGACGCAATGGCATTACTGCGATGCATATGGGCAAAAATGGCATATAGAAATGCAACATGGATTACACTAACATGAGAAGAGCCTACACCACACTCACATAAGAGCCGATGGATGAAAATGCAGTGCCTCGAATGCGTGCAACAC